TCTTTGCATCCCTCCAAGTGTCTAACTTAGCATCTTGAATTTGCAAGATATTTAGTTACTATTTGCTGAATGAGGAAACTGCTCTGAACTTGGAATCAGAAGACCTGTGGTGCTTCCCATTGATGGACCTCAATTTCCTTACTTGTAATATAGAGTTGGTAATACTTCATCTGGCTGAAGATTCAGTAAGCATAACTGTGCCAAGGACAGTGGCTCTACACCTCATTTATACGCTAGAATTAGAATGTGGGAGCTTTTGAAAAATATTGATTTCCAGCTTTACCTAGGTCATAAAAAAAATCTCTGGGCGATGGACTCTGAAAAACAAACTGAGGGTTCTAGAGGGGAGGGGGGTGGGAGGATGGGTTAGCCTGGTGGTGGGTATTGAGGAGGGCACATTCTGCATGGAGCACTGGGTGTTGTGCACAAACAATGAATCATGGAACACTTCATCTAAAACTAATGATGTAATGTATGGGGATTAACATAAGAATAAGATAAAAATAAAAATAAAAATAAAGGAAAAAAAAATCTCTGGGGATGAGGTCTAGGCAATATATACATTTCCAGAGGAGTTTCTAGTAGACAAAGAAGGCTGAGAATCACTAGTCTTGCACAATGCCTGACACACTGCAAGCACCCAATAACTGTTTGTCCTTTCAGATAGAAGGTATACCATCCAGATGATGGTAAGGGCAATTTCCTAGGGGGAAGACAGGAGTCCCTATTCCTAATTCATTCCACACAGTCCTATCACTTAGAAATTCAGTATTTATTATATTTAAAATAGAAATGCTGCTAGGATGGTTACATTTATAAATATTTACAATTTAAGCTGGAAGAACTCTTTAAAATCATCTGGTCCAAACCTCTCATTTTGTAGATAAGGAAACAGACCTAGAGAGAGGAAGTGATTTTCCCAGTGTCTCATAGTGGCAAGAACACAAGTCCACCCTCAGACTGCTATTGTGGCACTGGATAATGGCATTTTCCTCAAGCTACTAAGTGACAGAAGCAAGGAAGAGGTAAGACTCAGTCATTCAACACATGCACAACCCTTATGCAAGATACTATGATAAATGCTGTGGTGGCAGGGATAAATCAAATAGGGATTCCACTTTGATGGAAAGATTACAAATTTCCTGAGAAAAAGAAAAGGAGGGAGTAAGATTTTGACTTCACTTTCCTTGCAGTATTGCCTTAGGCCTGGGGCCGGGGTTAGACAGATCACTGGGTCATGACAAACCATCCTCATGCTACCTTGAGTATCTAACTTTAAACTGTTATTGTTGTTGTTGTTATTTATATTTTTAACATGATATGAACATCATAAGCCAGGTACTATACAGACTAACCTTTTATTGCCAAGCTCAATACAGACTGACCACATGAGAATTATCTGGAAAATTCATCTTTGAAATGAACATCATTGAACCTTCAGCTGTGGCAGACCAACTTGTACAGACCAATCCTCATTCCAAGAACACCTAGAAAATCTAGATAAACTATTTGAAAGAAAAACATCAATTGGAAGGTTCAGTGAGCTGCCAAGGCAGCAAGGACTTGAGGACAAAGATCTTTGCCACAGAGAGGTGAGCACAGCATTCAGCTTCACTCTTACACAGACATGTGTTGATTCATAAATGGTGAAGCTGGGAAACTGAGCTTCATAAATTCTGTGAGGCTGGGAAACTGAGCAGAGCTGTTGGCAGCCTTACAGAAATTGAGGTCAGATTCCAACAAAGAGGAATAGCTCTGATAACACCCTAGGCTTTCAGTTAGGACCTCTAAAAGGCTACACTTTAAGTGTAAATATGAAGTAGAAATAGACCACCCCTCAAAAAGAATAAATCTTGGTGTTCAATGAATTCAGTTTAGATTGGATTGAGATAAATTGCCCCTAGACTGATTGCTTGCTAGAAGCAAAAGTATATATCCTCTGAAGTAAAATAACATCATTAAGAGTCTCAAAACATCTCTACAATGTTTTATACACAATGTCTAAGATTCACACAAAAGTTACAGGTGCATCAGAAAGACAAGACCAAATGTCTGAACAACAAGGGGGAAGAAAAGAAAATAGAAGCAGACCCATGAGGGATTCAGATCTTGAAGGTATCAAATTGTAGTAACTGTGAATAATGTATTAAAAAATAGATGAGAAACTTTCTCCATCCAGAGAACTGGAATCTATTTTAAAAAGAATCAGATGGAAATTCTAAAACTGAAAGAAATACAACAATTTAAATTAGGAATTCAGTGGAGAGGTTTGAAAGCAGATTAGACACAGCTGAAAAGTGTATTAGTGAACTGGAAAAAATAGGTCAATAGAAAGTATCAAGAGGGTAAGAGAGGGAGAAATAGAAGAGCATAAGAGACATACAGGACATGGTGAAAGGTCTAAAAGATATGTAATTTAAGTCCTGAAGGAAGCAAGAGAGTGAATGGGGAAGAAGCAATAAAGAAGCAATATTAGAAGAGACAACAGGCGAGAATTTTCCAAAACTGATTAAAGGCATCAAGCCACATATTGGAATCTCAATGAACACAAGCAGCACACATACATGCATAACCAGCCCACAACTAGGCACATTATAGCAAAACTGCTGAAAACCAAGACCAAGACAAAAACTATAAAAGCATCTGGGGTCATGGGTGAGGGAAGGGGAGTGCAATCACATTACCCACAAAGGAACAAAACAAGATGGGCAGATGACTTTCCAACAGAAACTGTGGAAACCAGCAGGCCATGACATATTTAAACTGCTGAAAGAAAATAACTGCTAGTCTAGAATTCTATAACCCATCAAAAAAAAATCTAGCATCAAAAATAAAGTTTAATTTAATCCATTTTTAAACAAAAATAGGAAATTCATCAAAAGTAGGCTAGCACTAAGAGAAACACTGAAGTTACTTCCTTAGGAAGAAACAAAATCATCCCAGATGGTAGGTTGGAGACACAGAAAGGAAAAAAAGGCAACAGAAATGGTAAATATGTTGATGATTCTAAAGAAATAGTGTATAAATTGATAGTATCATGTAAAGAAACCCTAATTCCCAAAACTGCTTGCCTAATGGAGGCAAAACCACTATAATCACCCAGGGGATAATTGGAAACACTTCTACATTTCTCAACCATCACATATAAACTGTCTTCTCTTCTTTTTAAAAAAAAAAAAAAAGATTTTGTTTATTTATTTGAGAGAGAGCGCGCATATGCTGGGGGGAGGGGCAGAGGAAGCAGGAGAAGCAGACTCCCCACTGAGTAGGGAGCTAGACATGAGGCTTGATCCCAGGACCCTGAGATCATGACTTGAGCCAAAGGCAAACCCTTAACTGACTGAGACACCCAAGCGTCCTGTGCTGTCTTCTCTTCTTAAGCCACAGATGGGTTTACCCTCTAACCAGCAATACTAAGTTTTATTATTATTTGTTAGTTTAGTTTGTCTTTGACTAAGATTTGTTGATCTGTTATGATGACTCTGTTCCAGTACATCTGAACATTCTTTCTCCAACACACTATATGTAAAAGGCCATACAATCTTTTCTAGCATAATTCAAAGAAATCTGCGGTCCCAGAATCTAATGATATATATTTAAAAATGAAAAGTCTTCTGTCTCCTTCATCACCATTTGTTTTCTGCTCCTGCCATCAACTCTGTTGGATGCTCTGGTACAATCTGCTCTACTTCAGCACCAGCTGAGTTGTCCAATCCTGAGTAACAGCCACAGCCATTTTTGGTTTCACCCAAATGCAAGCCTTTCTTCAGGCTAGAATTAGGCACAGTTTTGATTATGGAATTCAGGCTAGTCTGTTGCATATGCTCTTTCCATTTTTCAAATCTAGAGTTGCTAGTAGATCATTAATACATCATTGGCTAGTCTATATGCTGGCTACCCAAGATTTAGTAGTGATCCCTTTCATTGGTTATTTACCCATTTTGTTGTCTTTCTAAAAAGTTCAACCCACTGTTTGGTGATGTTGAGTGAGACGAATTATACTGATTCATTCATTCAACAAATACTTTTTGAGAACCCAATACAGTAAAATCCTGCAATGACATTGAATTATAATTAAGACAATTTTAAGTTGTCTCCTATCCTCCATCTCCCATTCTCAAATGTAGCCATCTAAATTTCTTATTATTTGGGGGAAAAGAGAGGGGATGTGCAAGGGAGAAGGCAGGACAGAGGAAAATTGGTGCAATAGTAGGCAAATTTGCCTTTGAAATCAGAGAAGTGGAGTGTCCCAGTATCCCCACCTATCTACTTAAATTGGGCCTACAAATGGGTACCACTAGCCAGGAGATTTCTGGAATCACTGTTCTTGCCCTGGAAATAAACAACAGGATCCAGAAGAAGCATCCCCATCAATATGTAAGGTAGAACAGACAACTGCCACCAGGAATTGCCAAAACATAACCAGGTAGTGATAAATTTTGATGGAAACTCCCTGCTGGCTAGTTATGCTGGCTGGCCCCAGTTATCTCACTCACCTAATTAATTTGACTCCTCATTTTTTATTAGTGAATTTCTGGACACAATTTAGTCAAGGATCAGCAAAATTTTACTAAAATTAATTTTAATTAATATGTCCTCAAGGAACTTACATTTTATTGGAGGAGCCAGACAAGTTAACTAATAATCATCATGAAATTTAATAAATTCCATAACAGAGGTATGAAGAGGATGGGATCATCCCAACCAAACAAGAAGATAATTAACTGTTTTTCTTTTTTCATGTTTTTCAAGAAATGAGAGTGATCATCTTCACTGTAAACACTTTCAGACTTTGAACAGGTTGTCAAGAATGATGGGTTTTAGAACTGTGTTGGCCCAACAGATAAGTGTGTTGAACAAATACTACAAATGAATCAACCACCAGCCCCTACTGCAGTAGGCTAGGGTTTGCTTTCATTGATTATATTCAGTGTTATGAGTATTGTGATTATTATTTCAGTTGGGTTTTATTCTTTTTTTTTTTTTTTTTTTTTTTTTAGGTAGGCTCCACATCCAGTGTGGAGCCCAACCCGGGGCTCAAACTCACAACCCTGAGATCAAGACCTGAGCTGAGATCAAGAGTCAGCCACTTAACCAACTGAGCCACCCAGGCGCCCTTATTTCAGTTGTTCTCAAGTTAAAGTTAGAGCCACATTAAGTCCATTCTTAAACTAAGCTAATTAACTTCTAGGCAGGAAAACACGAATTCCATTTGACTATGCTAGTGGAAAAAAGACCAGTTTAAAGAGGTTATGAAAATCATTAAACATAAAACTAACATGAAGGAGAAAAAAGATCCCTTCAGGACCAAAGCTTTTATATTTCCAAGAATAGAAGAAATGGCAACAGGCAAAATCACACAATTGGAAGGTTAACATTTTATAAGGCAGCTGGAAAAGGCAGTCCGAGGCTGATTTCTTATGGACAGTACAAGAAGAAGGAAGATCAGAGACCAAAAATCCCTGGGCACTAATCTTCTCAGTGTTCTTACGGTGCTGTCTCTGCACAGTTCTTTTACTGCCTCTTCTTCCAATCTACTTTAGCAGTCTGCCAAACACCAGCCGAATGGTCTGGTTACTTAAAAAAATAAAAAAATAAAAGATAAAAAGTCCCACCCCCAGGAATGGTTACAATGGGGTTTCAAAAAAGCAATTTACAAGCAAAAATTTACAGCAGGAAACATGAAAGGAACTGGGTTATGCATAAACCATAAGACATCTCTGCCAGGGCTCTGTTCTCTAAAAGGTTGGATCTAATTATACAGGGAGCCATGAAGGGGACAAAGTTAGCATGAATGACCCACAGAGCTTCAGGTTACCAAGACTGAGGGACAAGGGCTAGAGGAGGACTTTGGTGTCTCTTGAAACAAAAATAACTCCAGCTTGACAAGGAACTATGTGTCCCTTTTCTCTATGATCCTCTGGGTCTTGGTCCCTTTAATGCTCTTTTTTATTTGCCACTCACAGTCTCAGTTTCTTTTACCCGAGCCCTCTCCTGACTGATGATACTTCATCTCTCATTTTAATGGACATGTGAGGGTACAGGATCTTCTACCCCTACCTCGGAGCAGACGTCTTATTTCCCAGCCTTTCACACCAGGGTCCACCCAAAAAAACCATGCTGAACTTAAAATGATGCAAGATCTGCTTCCATTAATCCCCAGTTTAAAGCTCAGTCGTAAAGTCTCTCCATCCCACCCCCACTCTTGTTTCTTTATCAAGAGAAAGCAAATCATGTTACCAGAGTCTCAAACTCCAGCTGCTATCTCTACCTCTACATTCTCCAAAGGACAAGTACCGCAGTGTAAGGGGAGAAAACCCAGGCTTTAAAATGCAGGGGGGCCTGGGTATAAATTCGGATTCTGCCACTTCTTAGCACTGTGACCTTGGACAAGTGAACTAATGCATTTAACCTCCATTCCCCCATCTGTAAAATGGGAATAAAAGAGCCACATTATAGGGCTTACATGCTGATCAAATGAAATGATGTATTTTGTAAAAGCACAAGCTCTTACATGTGTATTTAATAAGGGCTAACTATTAGAAAAGAGGCTCTTCAGTTTTAGGGGGATAACATTTTCATTTCTCGTAATAACATTGATGTTCACATCCACATATGAGTAACTCTTAGGATATAATTGGTACCTAAGAACTACATCATGTCAGTCCCTTACAGCATGAGTGATGGACAGTAGCAGACCCTCTTGCTTACAGTTTTGATCAAGGGGTTGCTGTACTCTTATTTTTTGTCCGATTTCCAACAAAAATGGATGATGAAGAGAGCCGGACCAATTTCTCTGCTCCAATACTTGACAGAACCATTTCTCAATCTATTCCCTTCCACCTCGGGGACCTTCCCCATTTACCATGTAGTGTTCAGAGAAGGAAGTTAGCCTCCTTCAAGAGAGAAAGCTCCAGCAGAAACAGTGGCCTAGGCTTTAGGCAGGAGCAAACTTGTGCCCATTCAGAAACTGACCATGAATCCAAACAAAGCATGGAGTAGGGCGTTGCTCCAACTTTTAGTTAGCACCTCATAGTTCTCCGAGGGCTTTCAAATTTCTAACCCTCTGGGAAGGCCAACTCTTCATTGTATGCATATTTCCCACTCTGTATGTCTGCTTCACTGAGACAATATTAATTCAAGAATTACTTATGTATATTATTTGTTCGATTCCCCTCTCCACGAGAATGGGGGCCATGTCTATCTAGTGCAGCATTGTCTTTCCAGCCCCTAGGTCAGCGCCTGGCACAGAGTTTGTCCTTGATAAATATTTCTTGAATAAAAGGAGGTTAGAGCACGCATAAGCCCATCACTCTCTAATAAAATACTTGTAACTGAGTTAACAGGTTAAGTTGAAAAATTAATCTACTGCCAAAACAAATACCATGACATTTCCCAAAGATCTTTTTGTGTAACCCAGGCCACCACTCCACCGATAATCAGCACAGGACTGCCGACACCCCTAGCTCTCGCTGCTAATGAATCATCATCCCGTTGAAGAAACCAGGAGAGGATTTTCTTCCCAATTCCATTCCATCAGTTTTACTTAAACAGTTGTCAGCCCTAATAGGTTATTTCTCCAGATTAATTCTTTTCACGTTTTTAGAAAGAGTGATGGCACGTTACCCTCATTCTGGTCTTTCTGTTCTTCAAGATTCTCCTCCAAGAAGATAGTGATACATTTTAGAGATTGTCTTATCACAGTGACCCAGGACCTAGAAAGCATCCTGAAATTTACAATATATATTTTGAAAATTTTAGGAAAATTTCAGATTTTTCTGCATGGCTCTTTCCTGATCCCCCCCCCCCCCGACACACACACACACACACACACACACAGTATTGTCTTTCTTTTTTTTCCTTAAAATTTTCTTGTTGGAGACTCTAAAAATAAATGAACAGTCAGGGAGGTGTGATGGAAGCCCTGAGCTGTGCTTTATTCCTGGCGTTACCCCAGATTCGCTGTAGCTGTGCCTAAGGCTGCCAACACGGTTGAATGACGTGTCAAACACACTGTCCATGACCTGCTCTGTCTGGCAGTGCCAAAAGCTGCTTTGATTAATTTTTATTTTTAAATGTAATTGGTGTGTGGGTGAAGTATGGAACCCCCCTTTGCACACTTGGTGAGGAGCACATCATCTGTCTCGATCACCTCTTTCTCCACTTGCAAAATTGGTATGCCAGTATAATCTTTCTCTCCACGTTGATATATAGTAGAAGAAAAACTATCCAGGACCATGGTCAAAAGGTGCCAAACAAGTACCGCCAAATGATCTGTTGTCTGCACTCCCTGCTTCATATCTTGCATTTCCAACAGGCTTCCCTCAACCATGTTCTGAGCCCATAGCCCGAGCATTTCCCAGCCGTACAAGCAATAAATACAGATTCATCGTAGTGTAAACTAAGTCAAATGAGCAAAGAATTCTCCTAAAACATTCATCACAGTACTCCAGAGCCAAATGCAGATCACCCTTGGATAATCCAGGCTTCAGCTCTGCAGGCAATGAGGGCTATGATCCCTTCTCGGGATCCTTACTATGTGCCAGGACCTGTTTTCAGGGCTCCATTTGCATTAGCTAGCCAATCCTAACAAATGGGTACTATTATTAAACTGCATTTTACATATAAGGCAACCGAGGCACAGAGAGATTAAATGATTTGCTCGCTATCACACAGCTAGTAAGTGGTAGAGTCCCAATTTGAGCCAGCTGGCTTAGCTACTACACTCTACTGCATTTCAAGATAAATGACAGTGACCATTTATGTGCCATCCGTTGGGCCAAGTACTTTACATGGAATATCTCATTAAATCCCCATTACACTCATCCCCATCTACAGATGATAAAGCTGAGATTTCAAAGAGTTAATTTGCCAAATATCACATAGCCAGTAAGTGGTAGGTTCAGAGCCAGCCTGTCTGGTTACAGAGTCTGAGAGCAAAGAAAATACTACACCATGTTGAGAAAGCCAGTGATGAACTCCAACTACAGAGTCTTCCATGCAAAGCCCCCTCATCCTTTAAAAGGACATGAAAATGTGCCTACTGCATCTAGTGGGCAGAGAAATTCCTCGGAAGTCTCCACTCTCTTGGGTTTGCGGACAGGCCAAGGAGAGCATGAATTGGAGAGTAGGAGCCTGGAGCCTCTGTGGTGCAGGCTGTCACAGTGGCTTATGATCAGCCTGCGGGCTTTTGGAGGGCAAGTGCAAGGTAGGCAGCTCACCCAAGAGGAGGCCCCCTCCCATACACCTTCTAGGGCCCCGGGAACTCCACCAACCCTGCCTCCAGCTACAGAGGCTTCCAGTAATGGTAGCAAACAGCTGGAGGAGCTAAATTCACATAATCCCAGCCATAACTCCTAGAATGGACTCTCCCTTACTCCAGTCAGAATGGCCCCAGAGCGCTGCTGTCTCCGGGGCCTCTAATCTCCAAGGTCAGAGACTGCCACCTGCTGAGGTTCTTTGCTTTGCCATCACATGAACCAACAGTACACAATATACTTTTGCCCTTTCATGACCAAATATTTCCCGGGTACATACAGTCAAATAGTGCAGGAGCAGAGGAAACAGGGCAGGCCTGGGAGAGGGCAGGGGGTATAGCAGAGAATCTTTTTTTTTTTTAAGATTTTATTTATTTATTTGAGAGAGAGAGAATGAGAGAGAGCAAGCACATGAGAGGGGGGAGGGTCAGAGGGAGAAGCAGACTCCCTGCCGAGCAGGGAGCCTGATGCGGGACTGGATCCAGGGACTCGATCCAGGGACTCCAGGATCATGACCTGAGCCGAAGGCAGTCGCTTAACCAACTGAGCCACCCAGGCGCCCTATAGCAGAGAATCTTGAGACTCTCAGGTCTGGCGGTTTGGGGAGCCATGAGAAATAGGGCAAATATTGCAGTGATGAAAGGAGCTAGTGAGTAGGAAAAGAAGAGGAGAGTGGGGGATACCCTCTGGGGCACCAGCTCACTAAACAGAGGGAGGGAGGGCAAGCAAATATGATCCCACGATAAACAGTCCCCCAAGTTAAGGCCAGGCTTTGTCCCTTTGCCTTCCCATCTTCTCAGCCACTCACATTTAAACTATGTCCTTCTATTCTGGTGTGATGAATAGAGTTCATCTACTCCAAGGCACACCTGAAATTGGCCTCTTTCTTGGCCCACAGTCTCTGAAGAAGTCCTAAAACAAACAAACCAACCAAAAAAAAAAAAAAAAAAAACCTGCGTGGAGCAAAAGAGAGACAGCATCGCCCCCTAGTGACGCAAGGACAATGTTGGTGGCGTTCTGGATGCTTTCCTGGACTGCCCAGGCAAAGGCACAATGCTGGAATGGAAATGATCTCCTAGAAACTCTGTTACATGACACTTTTTGTCAGATAGTGAGGTCCCCCAACATCATCACCTTGCCCCCAACCCTCCCCGCCAACTTCCCAACTCATGAGCCAGACCTGTCTGCAGGGCCTAGTTTAAAGACAGGTTGCCCCTGCAAGAAAACGTGTGGTTTGGTAAGTCAGCAGATTAGGGCCAAGGAGAAGGGAGCTCTGATGTCTTTGTTTCCATTTCAGTCCATTCTGCCAAGTTGAAGCAGACTGATTTTCATTTGTCTTAAATCCAAGAGAAAAAAAAAAAAAAACACTTAAACCAACACCATCACATATGTACCCCTAAGGAGTAATGAACAGCCTTTTTAGGCAAAGGAAGAAAGGCCCAGAGAATCATAGCCAAACCCAGGGTGCATGAAGAAGGCAGGAAAGAACTTTGTTGACTGAGTAAATGTCTGCGTCTTGAGCTCAAAAGCCAGGAGAGTAACCGGGAGCTCCAAGTGCCCAGGTCACTGCTGTCCCCATGGAGCGGCACGCCTGCTTTCCCCAGAGCCCTAGACAGACACACTCTTTCTTCTGCACTGTCTCTCTGGGACTATCTGAAGCTTTGCGCCCCCCTCCCCCCACCTCCCGCCCCCCATCACTCTCCTCCCATCACTCCCTCTGCCCCTGGTGGGAGGAGGGCAGCACGGCAGGGCGGGCAGGGCTCAGCCAGAGCAGCCCCTACCTCAGAGCGCGGAGCCTGCAGTCTAGACCCACCCGGGCCAACACAGACGCAGGGAGGGAGAGAGGCAAAAGGAGCCAGCCCGTTTCCATAGATACAGATTTCAGCTGCATTTTACGACAGCCATGCCCGGCTGCCTGGAGAGGCATTGTTTGGATGCTCAGAAGGAAAATGAAGTAAGAAACAATTTTTTAAAAAATTCCAAGTGGTTTTCCTCCCAGTTTTAGGTCAAGAGCCACGTCTGCCCTCTAGAGAGGTTCACACTGGGAGTTAAGAGAGGAAGGCATCCACCTCCCTGGAGCCCTGGGCTGGCTGAGCAAAGCAGGCTATGAGCTGCGTTTACCCCCTCCTAGGAATTCGGAGGCTTTAGAATTCCCCTCTCTGCTTTGTCAACACTCCTCTCTGTCCTTTGCTGGCTCTCACACTCAATGGGACTTGTCACCATCATGCCCCCCTGTGAGGTTTGGAGGGGGAAACTAACATGTGTCGGGGGCACATTGAAGCCCTGTGACTGTGGTAATGTCAGGAGGGCTAGATGTTTCTCCTCTGGGGCTCCCACACTCTCCATTTACATGGCCAGAGTCCCTTCCTGCCTGTGAGACTGGAAGCTGGCTTTGACCTATTTTGGCCGACTATCTGGAGAAAAGGGGCCTGGTGCCAGCGAAGAGGCTGGCCTCAGCAAGTCACATCGGCAGCACAACAGTTTCAGGAAATCCCAGCTTCCTCAGTAGCCAACAGACCTAAGGAAGTACAGGGGCCTGGGGCAGCAAGTCTTTGGCAAGTGGGCAGCCTCTTCCCAGTGTCACCCTGGAGGGTAGGATGGGGCATAAACTGGCCAGAGACGGAAGCTTCTTCAGTTCTGTATCACCTCACAGGTGTAAGCAAATAAAGACTCCAGTTTCAGGGGCTGGAGGTGCCATTCCACGGGAAAGGCTTGGGATGAGGCAACAGGAAGGCAACATCCTACCTCCGAAGTATGCCCTGGAGCACCTCGGCAGGTGAGTCTGCTGCTTAGGAAGCTGCCAGGGTGAGGGAGTGCGGCAATTCCATCTCTGTTTTTAGGGGGAAGGGAAATCTTCTAGTTTTTTTTGAAAACCTCATGCCCTACAGGTCCAGAGGCCAGAGGGTGACAACTCTGTGGTCAGCTTCTTGGTTCCCACACACAGTGCTGACTCAAGACTGATTCTTGTGTCTGCAATCACAAGGAACAAGAACTAGCTCCCTACATCCCGGGCCCTCTTCCTCTGCAGCCTTTTCCTCCTGGAACCATGTGGGCTGCTCCCTGAGCGTTTGCCCAGTTGAGAAAGGTCACCTTCATTAACCCAAGGAGCCCTGTCCTGTATACCCTTCTCAGAGACCTTTAGAAGAAAAAGAGGATCCGCTCTCAGAAGAGGAAGAAAACAGAGAAAGAGATTGTGTGTGTGTGTGTATGTGTGTGTGTTTAATTTCTGGCAAAGGTCATTTGTGTCGGGGACCTCGCATTTAGGTGCAGCCTAAGCAGCTCCAGACCCTCAATCCCAGGCCACTGAAGGTCACTGTCAAATTTATTCTTAGAAGCAGGCCGCTTCTGGGGCTTCTCTTACAGCTGCCATACAATCCCACCTCCGCTCCCCCTCCGCCCCCCCAACCCCGTGACCTTCATGGGAACTAATGCTGGAGCTTTGAGAGGACAGGGATCACCTTGGTTTCTAGTGAGTGGCTCAACCTGGAGCGTGGGAAGAACTCCCCTTATTCCTGGACTCAAACCATCCACTCCCCAAAACACTCACCTCCTTCTCCAACTTCTACATTTTCATCTCCTGCCATCCCATCTATCTGGAATGCCTTTCTCTGTGTTCATCACTCATTCATTTATTCATTCCACAAAAAGCCATTGAGTTCTCTCATTGTACTGGCCTTCCTAAAATAGATATGAGAACGACACATTCCCTGCATTCACAAATCTCAAAGACTAGCAGAGAAGAAAGATGCATGAGTGACCTCTTGAAATCTAACCTAAATGGGGTCAGAGAAGAATTCCTGAAGGAGGTAAAGCCCAAGCTGAGCCTTGATGGATGCGTCAGAGTTGGGGAGGGAGGTTCAAAGTAGAGGGGACTGCAGGGACAGAGGCACAGAGGCAAGAATCAGGGTGCTGTGTATAGGGAACTCAGTAGATTACAGTAGCTGAAGGACAAGAGCAAAGTGAGGAGTGGCAAGATATGGGCTGGAATAACAGGCAAGCCTCAGACAGCAGAGGACCCTATGTGATATGTTAAAGGCCCCAAGCTTCATTCTGTCCTGATTCTTGAGCCTTGTTTCCTGGAGTTTTGGGGGTCCTGTGGTGCCTGAGAGGCGGGACTAGGGACACATTGCCCTTGACATGAGTGACTTATTTTATACCCTCAATTCCAGAACAAGGTTGAACTTAAAATAAAAATGTTAAACAGTATCTCTGTATTTTAATAGCAAGCTACAGAAGGGTTTTAAGAAGGTGAAGGACATGATCAAATTTGTGTTTCAAAAAAACCACTCTGGCTTCTGGGCCCTACTTAACAACCATTCCTCAGAGCAGTCTGTTCCTTAAGAAAAGCTTTGGCAGTAACAAATGATTTACAGCAAAAATGAAAGCTTCTTTGTTATATCTGTAATCATCGTTGCTAAATATATTTCATTCATAGGGAAGAAAAAGAAGTGGGGATCCCCTTTCCCCTGCTTGGACTTCAGACAGAACCGTCTTAGCCAGCTGGCTGTGTTGATAACGCCATCTAGTGGTACAAGAGCAGCATGACCCCCAAAAGAAACCAAACTTGCTTCTGAAGAACAACTTTTCATCACGTGCATTTGTAAAATTCTGTATTCTCTTATTTAACCCTCAAAACAACTCAGCCAGGGGCGCCTGGGTGGCTCAGATGGTTAAGCGTCTGCCTTCGGCTCAGGTCCCTGGGATCGAGCCCCACATGGGGCTCCTGGCTCAGCAGGGAGCCTGCTTCTCCCTCTCCCTCTGCCTCTCTCCCTGCTCATGCTCTCTCTCTCTCTATCTATCTATCTCTGTGTATCAAATGAATAAATAAAATCTTTAAAAAAAAAAAACTCAGCCAGGCATGTCTCATTGTTTACCCATGTTATGATTCAGGAAACTGAGGAGTGGACAGAAAACACCCCTCAGTCTTCTTTGGATTGGGAACCGTGGTAGATGACACAGGAGATTGACTTCAAAGATGGAGAAACCAAAGTCCTTGGTTGGTGATGGAGATTAAACCATAGACTGAAGTTTTCCAGCTGCCAGAACCATATTCTTCCCGATAAATCTGATCAGAGTCAAGCCACTTACTTAAGTCAAAAAGAAACCACGTGGTAAAGGATTAAAAAAGGAGGCAGGCTTTTTTGGAATTTGGGGTAACTGGCCCAGACTGCAGCTATTTTATTTGCCACAAAGTAAAGGTTAAGGCAAAAAGAAAAAGAAAGAAATGTCCTCCCCATAAAAGGGTAGAAAATATGCCTGTGAAAAAGAAAATAATAGTTCCATGCTCTCTCTCCACCCACACGTGTTATCTGAATAGAAGTACAGATCAGGCATCCAAAACCATAAAGAAGCAAAACAAAAACACCTACAAGAAGCAAAATGACACAGCCCATCCCCAGGTTTGGTTTTCTGATTTGCAAATCAAATAGGCCCTGGAAAATGATGATGATGATGAAAATCTGTTGCCAAATGTCCCAAGACAATGAATGCAATTTACATAATTCCTTTATTATTAAAATTAAAAGGCCACTATAGCCAAAACTAGGAGGAGAATAGACAGGATTCATATTGCTCTGACAATTCAGTTTTTCAGGGATCCAGGCTTAAATGCTGAACTGAAACAGAATCTACCCTGGCAAATTTCTTTCCTAACTGGTCTTCTGAATTTTAATGAAATGTAGAAGCCTTAGCCAGGTACAAAGACGAGAAACTGCAAATTTTTTAATGACAGATTTGATTAGATAAAAATATAAATCCTCTTGTACAGCAAAACATACTAAGAGCAAAGTTACAAGTCATCGTATGAAAAAATTTTACAATACTTATGACAGAGAAATATTAACCATGGCCTATAAAAAGAGTTTACAAACCAAAAGGCAAATAACTGCCCCCCTAAAACGGACAAAGAATATGAGTGCGCGATCCAGAGAAAAAGAAATGCAAATGGCTCATAAATATATGAGTCATCCGATAATCAGAAAATTGCTAATTAAAATAAAGAATATCTCCTGCTCATCCTGTTGTCAAAAAGAAATGTAAAGAGGGACAATAGCCGGCGATGGTAAAACTAGATCACGAAGCTCCTGCTCCCACACTCTACTGAGCCTGTAGGTATGGTCGGGCGCAGTCTCTTTTGAGCGTAATTGGTGGTACTTACTGACTTTCAGGTCATGCCTGTTTTGAGCAATCTGTTCTACCTCCAAGGATACATCCTCCAAAACTATTCCTGCATTTGCCTCAAAATATGTACATAGAGATGTTTATCATTTTTTGAAAGTTTGTAGTAGCAAAACACATGGAAGCAACCTAATGTCCTTCAACAGAGAACAGACTGAACAAATTTACAGGATGTCCTTATGATGGAATATTATTTTTTTTTAAAGATTTTATTTATTACCAGCTGGCCAGTTAGCTCAGTTGGTTAGAGCGTGGTGCTGATAAAGATTTTATTTATTTGACAGAGAGAGACACAGCAAGAGAGAGGGAACACAAACAGGGGGAGTGGGAGAGGGAGAAGCAGGCTTCCTGCTGAGCAGGGAACCCCGATGTGGGGCTCGAACCCAGGACCCTGGGAGCATGACCTGAGGCGAAGGCAGACGCCTAACGACTGAGCCACCCAGGCGCCCCATGATGGAATATTATTGCAGACGATGTATACATATACAGCAAAGATACCGAGATATATTAGGCATATATTAATACGTATATATGAAGTGTATCTTTAAAAAGCAAAAAGCATCTGGAAGGACACACACCAAACTGTTAAGTGTGGTTTCAGTGACCAGGAGATGAGAAGAAGGTAAGCAGAGATCTTTACTCTTTATCCTGCGTTTGTCCCTATATTGTTCGATTCTTTTCATTGTGCAAGCATTCATGCTGTATGTACGTTTTTAAAAAATACACGGATATGTGCAAAGTGAATGCCTCTATTTAGAAAATATTTGCAGCTATGTGGATTTTTCAGGACAAAAAAAACCTTCTTTAAACACGCAAATGTTAACTGATTAGCACAAAGACCGGAGACCCCAAATGCTCTGAAAGGTCAGCACTGTAGAACTGAATCTCATAATTAAAGGCGACAGCATGGACAGCCAGAGCAAACATGGGCTTTGGAGTCAAGCAGATCTGGTTCCAGTCCTCGCCCTGCCCCTTTCTTTCTGTGACCGCGGGCAAATTACTTAACTTTGCTGAGTCTCAGTAAAATGGAGACAAATCGGCCCACCCTTCTGTGTAGGTACACGGCTGCCCACACCACGTATATACAAAATCTTTTTCTCGCCTTCTGACTTCTGATATTATATTAGTTGGTCTGTTTTCTGGATGGACCCAAAGACAGGTTCCCAGGGCCTCGTGGTGGAGGCTGGTGTCAGGAAGAGCAGTGGGGAGTAGGAGAGGGCTGTGATACAAACGTTTTGGGCACGGGGGCCAGCACGACCAATCCTAGTAGCCTGGGCTACCTCAAACAGCGGTTCTAAAATTTTAGCATGCACTAGAACTACCTGGAGGGCTTTTTAAAACTGTTTTCTGGTCTCCACCCTCAGGGTTTCTGCTTCAGTCGGTCTGGGGTAGGGCCCACACCCCTAACAAGTTCCCAGGCAATGCTACCTTCACTGACATGGGGAACCGCGGTTTGAGACCCACCAACTTACAGCATCAACCACTGCTCCCACCCCAGCAAATCTGAGGCTGCATCAGCCTCTTTCCCTCCCCCTCTTCTGGGATGTTCTCTCTGCACCTCCCCAGGCAGCTAGAATGTCAGGACACTCCCTAGTCCTGATCCAGCCAATGGCCGCTTTCTGCAGCCTGCACTCCTCTAACCAAGGTGCCAGGCAGCTGAGGAGAACCCAAGACTTTTAGCAGGGAGAGGGGAGGATTTGGGGTGGGGGGGGCATGCCAAGAGTCAGCCCTAGGCCTGGCCTGGGTCCTGCTTGCTCTGCGTGCTCAGCACAAGGACAGGAAGTGGGTCCCCTTCTGCCTAAGCAGATTGGGAAAGATAACTTTGTTAGCAGGAGAAGCCGGGGCCGAGGGGTCGTGCTCCATAGAATTGGCACAATCTGCTCTCATGCATGAGCTGCTCCGTTCAATAGAGTGCCCGGCCTTGTCCTGACAACCGTCTGTGCGGGAAATCCTCTCCGCAGTGAAAGTGACCCCTGTCCCCCGCTCCGGCCCACCCCTTGCCCCTCAGGGCACAGGAGCCCTTGAATCTCAGCCAAATGGCTGCGATAAAGAAGAATCTCTGGCTCACAACCAAATTGGCCAGGGAGGAGGGACAGAGAGGGCCGTGGCTCACCTCTGGGCCTCTCCAGGTGGCACAAACAAGAAAAAGCAAAGCATTGATCCCACCGCTGCTTAAGCAAAGAACCCTCAACCTCCTTCGGGGAGTAGCCAAACCTTCTTCCTAGTAGTGCTAATGGCAGTTACTACTTAGCAAGTGCTCACCGAATGTCAAGTACTAAACCCAGTTTATGCACACTGTTTTACTGAATCACGCTGACTCTATAAGGAGCTGCTGGTTCCCATTTTGCACAGGAGGAAACTGAGGAGGAAATGAGGAAAGTCACAGGAGCGAGGTCAGGCAGCTGACTCGGGGTGATGCTGAACCAAACTCACTCCAAAGCCTGGTGTTTCATTGCTTCTCTGTTCAGCTTCCGAAAAGACGGAGGCCCCGGTTCTAAAACCGGACGTGGGAATTGGGGCCTGGGAGACCAGAGCCCCCTCCACGTCTTCCCTCTCCTCTAGCAGATGGGCGTGAGGCATCTCTGCACACTCCGCGTGCTAGGCATCGCCTCAGGGCCTGGGCTTCATCCAAGTTCCTGCTCCCAGCCCAGTGCCAGGCCCACACTGACCACTTCGCAAAAGTGTGTGGCAGAAGAGAAGGGCAAAGTTGCACGTTGGAGGCTGGGTATCTCGTTTCTTGGTGTTGTCGCTGTTTTAAAGACGTGAAGGTGAACCAACCATCCATGGATGAGCAACCAGGAGACAAAAATTACATTTCCCAGCAGTTTTTGTCTACACCCACTGTTCCAGCCCGGCTGTTGCAAGACTTGGCCTGCCTTATTCTTCCCCCTACACCCGCACAGCTCCCTCCCTCACCCTCTTTAAAGTGGGCTCAACCTCCCCTTCTCAGTGAGGTCTGTGTGAGCACCACCTCTCCTCCACTGACTGTCCCAATCCCTGCCCCACAACAGACTTTTCCACTGGGCTGTAGCTCTTATCACCTCCTAACCTAGTCCCTGAGTTATTGTGTTTAATGAGAATCCGCTGCCTCCCCCACTAGACTATAAGCTCTGCTATGGCAGGGGATCTCTGTTTTACTTGCTGATGGATCCCAAACACCTCATGGGGTGGGAGCTCAGAAAATGCTTGTGAAATGAATCTCCAAACATTGCCCACGAAGTCAGAACCAGGCCTGGACATTCAGGGAAATAACCCAATTCACCCACAGCCCCTGGTCCTGGGTTTCTCACAGACTCATTCTCCCTTGCACACCCAAGCAGCTGGAAGAGAGAGATTCTGTGCCTCCTAATTCCAGTCATTGAGATTGACTGAGAACAGTCCCCTCAGGCCCCATACATCTGTCTGCCTGCCCTTCTACCCACGCTAGGGCTCACCTGGTTCTCCCTAAAGAGCCTGCTGCTGAGTGAGTCGATACCCCCTAAATGGAGGCATCCAGAGCCATGGAAATTGCCTGGGCCTCAGAGCTACACCACGACCTCAGGATGTCATTTCCACCCCGAACTGGCTTCCCCACCTATAAAATGAGAACTGAGGCCCCCAATTTCTTCTGCTCTTTTCCAATTCTGACATTTTCCCTATGGAAGGAAAGCATATTATGACCATAATCAAG